TGCACACCCCAGTATACTGACCTATAAAGCACACGAACCCACCCAACCCTCCTAACCCATCGAAGGAAGGCGATCAATGGTCTCCAAAAGCGTCAATATCAAGACGTTTGAATTCCAACAAAAGCCCGCCATTTTCGACGTAGGTGACGACAGCGTCAAAAATGACGGTGACGGGTTATAGAAACAGCGCTGATACGGGCAGTTGTGATTGATCGTGATTGATTGATCCTAAATGGTAAACTACGACCGGTCGTGTCTACTAGTCGTTCTTATTGGCTAACTACGGACCACTGTGGCTATAACTGCGAGCGGTCGGCCCATACCGGTGCCCACTGGAGCTAACTGTATGTATGAACTCCGTCACATGAAATGTCCAGTTGAAGTCAATATAGAGCAGTGGCAGTAAAGAGCAGAGTGGCAGTAAAGAGCAGAGTGGCAGTAAAGAGCAGAGTGGCAGTAAAGAGCAGAGTGGCAGTAAAGAGCAGAGTGGCAGTAAAGATAGACCAGAGTGACGCAGGCTCTGTGTCGCCTTGTGCCATATTTTCTATCAAACTGGCAGACAGACAGCTGGCACATCTAATGCCTTCCTGAAGCTCTGAGTGACCTGCCAGCTACACCCACCCCACGGTACACCCTATATACACCCCTGGGTACACCCTACACCCACCCCCTGGGTACACCCTACACCCACCCCTGGGTACACCCTATACCCACCCCTGGGTACACCCTACACCTACCCCCTGGGTACACCCTACACCCACCCCTGGGTACACCCTACACCCACCCCCTGGGTACACCCTACACCCACCCCCTGGGTACACCCTACACCCACCCCTGGGTACACCCTACACCCACACCCCTGGGTACACCCTACACCCACCCCCAGGGTACACCCTACACCCACCCCCTGGGTACACCCTACACCCACCCCTGGGTACACCCTACACCCACCCCTGGGTACACCCTACACCTACCCCTGGGTACACCCTACACCCACCCCTGGGTACACCCTACACCCACCCCTGGGTACACCCTACACCCACCCCTGGGTACACCCTACACCCACCTCCTGGGTACACCCTACACCTACCCCCAGGGTACACCCTACACCCACCCCTGGGTACACCCTACACCCACCCTTGGGTACACCCTACATCCCTCACAGTGTAGACTCGGTACACTGACTTATCTGCCCGCTCCTCCGTACTTCATTAGCCAATAATAAGAAGCGATTAAACTAATGATTCATACTTCAATCTATTTCTCATACTTATCCTTCTCTAATACACCCTCTTAGAGTGTGTCTTGTTGTCGTAGTCTGTCGTTGACAAGCACTTTAAACCCCCAATTGACTTGAGAATGGTCCAGGACGGACCGAAACGTCGTCGTCCCTTCACCTTCTAGATTGTGGTCTGGTCAACATACTTCAGCCATGTTATTGTGACTCATCGCCTGCACTTCAAATCCTGTTGTGTCCGAAGTGCGTTTGACCCATGTCATGTCAAGGGACCGTGGATTAGGTTAAATTCGAAAGCCATGCAAATTTCTACAAGTTTGCGTTATATTTAGATGAAGTCTCATCTTTCAAAATCTATGCGTCTTATTGGTTTCTTCTTTGCAGTCAGTGTCTAAACATTTAGACAGTGGCGCGATGTGTGGGTTACTTAGGCGCCGTACTTCAGCACAGTGGCTTTGAAGTGAAGCTATTTTTCACGAGATTAAAGCTTAAGACTGTTTTAATTTGATGGTGTATGCATAGGGAGCCGGTCGGCCGAGCGAACAGCACGCTGGACTTGTGATCCTGTGGTCCCGGGTTCAATCCCGGGCGCCGGCGAGAAACAATGGGCAGAGTTTCTTTCACCCTATGCCCCTGTTACCTAGCAGTAAAATAGGTACCTGGGTGTTAGTCAGCTGTCACGGGCTGCTTCCTGGGGGTGGAGGCCTGGTCGAGGACCGGGCCGCGGGGACACTAAAGCCCCGAAAGCATCTCAAGATAACCTCAAGATAAGAAGATCTCTTATAACAGGTGAACAGTGTAGGAATGAGCCGGTTTTATGCAACGTCCTCCATTGTAATTGGACAGCTGTCTGCACAGTTGTCTCCTGTGCAGTTGTGTGTCGAGGCATCGTTGGCTCATGCACAGGAGAGGCAACCAAAGGTGTAGAGAGGACTCCTGGTGTGACATTTGGAGTCTGCTACTGTGACCACCCAACATGAGGCCATGCCAAGTGCATGCTAGTAAAGCAGGTCACCACCAGGCTCTAGAATCACAATAATTTGCCAAAACAGTTGGCTAAAAGTCAATTGGTTCAACTGTTGATTTTGATGTCATGATTTTGATGTCATGAAGCAAGAGCGCCTAGGTGAGCTCAGCAACATCAACGGCCTGGTAGACCATGACAGGCAATTGATGATGATGAACGAAGAATGCTTTCAGTTGTGAAGATATTTGTTGAACCCCTGGTATGAGAGAGTCTCTCATACCTCTCAAACAAGAGGTATGAGAGACTACTACAAGAGAGCAGCATAACCTCAGTGGGTTCACCGAAGGAAACAAGCCACCTGTACGCCTCAAGAACAGAACCACAAAGTTACAGTTTGCTACAAAGTAAATAACCTAACCTAGAGAGTCTTGGCACAAAGCCTTGTGGACAGTGGAGACGAAGGCTAACCCGTACCGGAGTGACGGAGAGAGAGAAAATGGAGAAAATTATTTATGTTCTGGAGGAGGTGACCTCATCTGTAACACATGTTGGAAGTAGTAGTATGTCTTGGATCAGTAGTATGTCTTGGATCAGTAGTATGTCTTGGATTAGTAGTATGTCTTGGATCAGTAGTATGTCTTGGATCAGTAGTATGTCTTGGATTAGTAGTATGTCTTGGATCAGTAGTATGTCTTGGATTAGTAGTATGTCTTGGATCAGTAGTATGTCTTGGATCAGTAGTATGTCTTGGATCAGTAGTATGTCTTGGATTAGTAGTATGTCTTGGATTAGTAGTATGTCTTGGATTAGTAGTATGTCTTGGATTAGTAGTATGTCTTGGATTAGTAGTATGTCTTGGATTAGTAGTATGTCTTGGATTAGTAGTATGTCTTGGATTAGTAGTATGTCTTGGATCAGTAGTATGTCTTGGATCAGTAGTATGTCTTGGATCAGTAGTATGTCTTGGATCAGTAGTATGTCTTGGATCAGTAGTATGTCTTGGATCAGTAGTATGTCTTGGATCAGTAGTATGTCTTGGATCAGTAGTATGTCTTGGATTAGTAGTATGTCTTGGATTAGTAGTATGTCTTGGATCAGTAGTATGTCTTGGATTAGTAGTATGTCTTGGATCAGTAGTATGTCTTGGATCAGTAGTATGTCTTGGATCAGTAGTATGTCTTGGATTAGTAGTATGTCTTGGATTAGTAGTATGTCTTGGATTAGTAGTATGTCTTGGATTAGTAGTATGTCTTGGATTAGTAGTATGTCTTGGATTAGTAGTATGTCTTGGATTAGTAGTATGTCTTGGATTAGTAGTATGTCTTGGATCAGTAGTATGTCTTGGATTAGTAGTATGTCTTGGATTAGTAGTATGTCTTGGATTAGTAGTATGTCTTGGATTAGTAGTATGTCTTGGATTAGTAGTATGTCTTGGATCAGTAGTATGTCTTGGATTAGTAGTATGTCTTGGATTAGTAGTATGTCTTGGATCAGTAGTATGTCTTGGATCAGTAGTATGTCTTGGATCAGTAGTATGTCTTGGATTAGTAGTATGTCTTGGATTAGTAGTATGTCTTGGATTAGTAGTATGTCTTGGATTAGTAGTATGTCTTGGATCAGTAGTATGTCTTGGATTAGTAGTATGTCTTGGATCAGTAGTATGTCTTGGATTAGTAGTATGTCTTGGATTAGTAGTATGTCTCGGATTAGTAGTATGTCTTGGGCACGTATCACTGTTTCTGGAGCTCTCTCCCCCTTGTCTTTCTTGACGTTACTGTTGATGGTCACTGCGGCATGACTTCTCAAACTGTACAGACATACTACTTCTGCTTAGACCCAACTGAATGTCACCAAACGTACCGGACAGCGCTTCACCTTACAGCGAGAAACTCACTCTGAACATATTCCTAAAACAACCAATTACTTTGTCAGTACCGAAAATGTCATGTCTGTGGCTGACCAACTCGCTCACCCGGGCTCAGTCCAACAGAGCCCGTCATTCACTTGCAGAAAAAAAGCTAAATGAATGAAGGAATGAAGGCAAAAATGCCATGAAATAAACTGAAGTCGAATGCGATAGAGGCGAGGCAGAGCATCACTAGGGAGGATACCTCAATGATGTATGGGTCGTAGACTTCACAAACTAAATATGACTTCATTTACAAGTTAAAGTTCGCAATTACTTGTGGTTCTATTAACCGGTGGGACTCTGGATTATAAACACTGTACTTTCTACACACTTAACCCGTTATGGATGTAAACACACTTGAGGTAAAGCTTGAAGTCTGAACTTTGACCTCAGAAGCAATGTTTTATATCAAATAAAATGTTCTGGAGTAAAGAGTCACATAACAGCATTGTGCCACAATCGTATAACGCTTCACAATCGGCTATATCTCGCTTTATAAAGGTATATACATTGAAATTGTTAAGTATATCATGTCTTTTTAATAGTCAATTGTATAGTTATCGCTTGTGTTAATGTCAGAAATATAATAATGTTAGCTTGGTCATTTTCAGTCATTCTACATGTTAAAAAAATTGTTTTTATTTTATATAATCTACTTATGTGTGTGTTTCCCTGTCAATTATATACTACCATGACTACAACAAAATTTAGTTATGTTAATTATATTGAACAGACATCAGTATTCATTGAACACTTGAGCAGGAGAGTATAATGCAGTGTTAATTATAATTAACTTATAATTATTTAAGTTAACACTTATAGTAAGTGTTAACTTATAATTGTTTGTTACAAAGGTGCGAGTGAGGAAGAGCCTCGTCTTGCATCACCTGTGTTTTGGAGAAGGAAAATGTGTGTAGGGGTCCTCCTCGAAGATGCTGGCGTGAGCAGGGGTCCTCCTTGATGCTAGCGTGTGCAGGGGTCCTCCTTGATGATGCTAGCGTGTGTAGGGGTCGTCCTTGAAGATGTTGGCGTGAGTAGGGGTCCTCCTCGAAGATGCTAGCGTGTGCAGGGGTCCTCCTCGAAGATGCTAGCGTGTGCAGGGGTCCTCCTCGAAGATGCTAGCGTGTGCAGGGGTCCTCCTCGAAGATGCTAGCGTGTGCAGGGGTCCTCCTCGAAGATGCTAGCGTGTGCAGGGGTCCTCCTCGAAGATGCTAGCGTGTGCAGGGGTCCTCCTCGAAGATGTTAAAGTCTATCACACCACTCTAAAACTTCTCCTTTCACATTAGCAGAGATTTTTACACTTTCTGAGGACAGGTACACGCTTATAGGCACGCTGGATAGCCCAGGAGCGTGTGCACGCGCGTGTGCGTGGTGATCCTGTAGGGTGTATGCCACACGGACTCACACCGGCTACACTTCTATCGCTGCCTGAAGAACAAGAACGTTTCCTCAAATGCCTTTCAAAGAAACGTTTTGTCGACCAATGATGCTACGACCACCGCTTTCCTAACAAAAAATATAAATATACTGAGTAATGACAACACCATATATTGACTTTCTGATTATAGTTTTCATTCGTTTTTCTATTATAGATTAGTCTATTGTCAGTGGCACGCACAATGTCGAAACACCTTGCTCAGATCTGCTATATTCGTCACTCCATGGGTCAATATTACTAATTTTCTCAATATTCCATTGATCAGTATTACTATCTCACCACTCATTGGTCAATATTGGTCTATTCTACCTTCAATCCATAGTATATTCTAGCCACTGAATGTTTAATATGTTTGGAAACTAGCCACACATCCGGGGCTCTGTCATCAACACTCGTTATTGTCATATAAAGACACTAGAGGGTAATATAGAGGAAGTGAGGAACTAGAGAGGTGCCCTCAAGAGTAAGGCACTAGTGAGGTGCCCTCAGCAGCGAAGTGCCCTCAGCAGCGAGGTGCCCTCAGCAGCGAGGCACTAACGAGGTGCCCTCAGCAGCGAGGTGCCCTCAGTAGCGAGGTGCCCTCAGTAGCGAGGCACTATGCAAGGTGCCCTCAGTAGCGAGGCACTAGCGAGGTGCCCTCAGTAGCGAGGTACTATGCAAGGTGCCCTCAGTAGCGAGGCACTAGCGAGGTGCCCTCAGTAGCGAGGCACTAGCGAGGTGCCCTCAGTAGCGAGGCACTAACGAGGTGCCCTCAGCAGCGAGGTGCCCTCAGTAGCGAGGTGCCCTCAGTAGCGAGGCACTAGCGAGGTGCCCTCAGTAGCGAGGCACTAGCGAGGTGCCCTCAGTAGCGAGGCTCTATGCGAGGTGCCCTCAGTAGCGAGGTGCCCTCAGTAGCGAGGTGCCCTCAGTAGCGAGGTGCCCTCAGCAGCGAGGTGCCCTCAGTAGCGAGGCACTAGCGAGGTGCCCTCAGTAGTGAGGCACTAACGAGGTGCCCTCAGTAGCGAGGCACTAACGAGGTGCCCTCAGTAGCGAGGCACTATGCGAGGTGCCCTCAGTAGCGAGGCACTATGCGAGGTGCCCTCAGTAGCGAGGCACTAGCGAGGTGCCCTCAGTAGCGAGGCACTATGCGAGGTGCCCTCAGTAGCGAGGCACTATGCGAGGTGCCCTCAGTAGCGAGGCACTATGCGAGGTGCCCTCAGTAGCGAGGCACTATGCGAGGTGCCCTCAGTAGCGAGGCACTATGCGAGGTGCCCTCAGTAGCGAGGCACTATGCGAGGTGCCCTCAGTAGCGAGGCACTATGCGAGGTGCCCTCAGTAGCGAGGCACTAGCGAGGTGCCCTCAGTAGCGAGGCACTATGCGAGGTGCCCTCAGTAGCGAGGCACTATGCGAGGTGCCCTCAGTAGCGAGGCACTATGCGAGGTGCCCTCAGTAGCGAGGCACTAGCGAGGTGCCCTCAGTAGCGAGGTGCCCTCAGTAGCGAGGTGCCCTCAGTAGCGAGGCACTATGCGAGGTGCCCTCAGTAGCGAGGCACTATGCGAGGTGCCTTCAGTAGCGAGGCACTATGCGAGGTGCCCTCAGTAGCGAGGCACTATGCGAGGTGCCCTCAGTAGCCAGGCACTAGCGAGGTGCCCTCAGTAGCCAGGCACTAGCGAGGTGCCCTCAGTAGCCAGGCACTAGCGAGGTGCCCTCAGTAGCCAGGCACTAGCGAGGTGCCCTCAGTAGCCAGGCACTAGCGAGGTGCCCTCAGTAGCCAGGCACTAGCGAGGTGCCCTCAGTAGCCAGGCACTAGCGAGGTGCCCTCAGTAGCCAGGCACTAGCGAGGTGCCCTCAGTAGCCAGGCACTAGCGAGGTGCCCTCAGTAGCCAGGCACTAGCGAGGTGCCCTCAGTAGCCAGGCACTAGCGAGGTGCCCTCAGTAGCCAGGCACTAGCGAGGTGCCCTCAGTAGCCAGGCACTAGCGAGGTGCCCTCAGTAGCCAGGCACTAGCGAGGTGCCCTCAGTAGCCAGGCACTAGCGAGGTGCCCTCAGTAGCGAGGCACTAGCGAGGTGCCCTCAGTAGCGAGGCACTAGCGAGGTGCCCTCAGTAGCGAGGCACTAGCGAGGTGCCCTCAGTAGCCAGGCACTAGCGAGGTGCCCTCAGTAGCGAGGTGCCCTCAGTAGCCAGGCACTAGCGAGGTGCCCTCATTAGCGAGGCACTAGCGAGGTGCCCTCAGTAGCGAGGTGCCATCAGTAGCGAGGCACTAGCGAGGTGCCCTCAGTAGCGAGGCACTAGCGAGGTGCCCTAAGTAGCCAGGCACTAGCGAGGTGCCCTCAGTAGCGAGGCACTAGCGAGGTGCCCTCAGTAGCGAGGCTCTAGCGAGGTGCCCTCAGTAGGCAGGCACTAGCGAGGTGCCCTCAGTAGCCAGGCACTAGCGAGGTGCCCTCAGTAGCCAGGCACTAGCGAGGTGCCCTCAGTAGCGAGGCACTAGCGAGGTGCCCTCAGTAGCGAGGCACTAGCGAGGTGCCCTCAGTAGCGAGGCACTAGCGAGGTGCCCTCAGTAGCGAGGCACTAGCGAGGTGCCCTCAGTAGCGAGGCACTAGCGAGGTGCCCTCAGTAGCGAGGCACTAGCGAGGTGCCCTCAGTAGCGAGGCACTAGCGAGGTGCCCTCAGTAGCGAGGCACTAGCGAGGTGCCCTCAGTAGCGAGGCACTAGCGAGGTGCCCTCAGTAGCGAGGCACTAGCGAGGTGCCCTCAGTAGCGAGGCACTAGCGAGGTGCCCTCAGTAGCGAGGCACTAGCGAGGTGCCCTCAGTAGCGAGGCACTAGCGAGGTGCCCTCAGTAGCGAGGCACTAGCGAGGTGCCCTCAGTAGCGAGGCACTAGCGAGGTGCCCTCAGTAGCGAGGCACTAGCGAGGTGCCCTCAGTAGCGAGGCACTAGCGAGGTGCCCTCAGTAGCGAGGCACTAGCGAGGTGCCCTCAGTAGCGAGGCACTAGCGAGGTGCCCTCAGTAGCGAGGCACTAGCGAGGTGCCCTCAGTAGCGAGGCACTAGCGAGGTGCCCTCAGTAGCGAGGCACTAGCGAGGTGCCCTCAGTAGCGAGGCACTAGCGAGGTGCCCTCAGTAGCGAGGCACTAGCGAGGTGCCCTCAGTAGCGAGGCACTAGCGAGGTGCCCTCAGTAGCGAGGCACTAGCGAGGTGCCCTCAGTAGCGAGGCACTAGCGAGGTGCCCTCAGTAGCGAGGCACTAGCGAGGTGCCCTCAGTAGCGAGGCACTAGCGAGGTGCCCTCAGTAGCGAGGTGCCCTCAGTAGCCAGGCACTAGCGAGGTGCCCTCATTAGCGAGGCACTAGCGAGGTGCCCTCAGTAGCGAGGCACTAGCGAGGTGCCCTCAGTAGCCAGGCACTAGCGAGGTGCCCTCAGTAGCGAGGCACTAGCGAGGTGCCCTAAGTAGCCAGGCACTAGCGAGGTGCCCTCAGTAGCGAGGCACTAGCGAGGTGCCCTCAGTAGCGAGGCACTAGCGAGGTGCCCTCAGTAGCGAGGTGCCCTCTGTAGCGAGGCACTAGCGAGGTGCCCCCAGTAGCGAGGTGCCCTCTGTAGCGAGGCACCAGCGAGGCACTATGCGAGGTGCCCTCAGCAGCGAGGTGCCCTCAGCAGCGAGATGCCCTCAGCAGGGAGGCACTAACGAGGTGCCCTCAGCAGCGAGGCACTAACGAGGTGTCCTCAGCAGCGAGGCACTATCGAGGTGCCCTCAGTAGCGAGGTGCCCTCAGTAGCGAGGTGCCCTCAGTAGCGAGGCACTATCGAGGTGCCCTCAGTAGCGAGGTGCCCTCAGTAGCGAGGTGCCCTCAGTAGCGAGGCACTATCGAGGTGCCCTCAGTAGCGAGGCACTAGCGAGGTGCCCTCAGTAGCGAGGCACTATGCGAGGTGCCCTCAGTAGCGAGGCACTATCAAGGTGCCCTCAGTAGCGAGGTGCCCTCAGTAGCGAGGTGCCCTCAGTAGCGAGGCACTATGCGAGGTGCCCTCAGTAGCGAGGCACTAGCGAGGTGCCCTCAGTAGCGAGGCACTAACGAGGTGCCCTCAGTAGCGAGGCACTAACGAGGTGCCCTCAGTAGCGAGGCACTAACGAGGTGCCCTCAGTAGCGAGGCACTAACGAGGTGCCCTCAGTAGCGAGGCACTATCGAGGTGCCCTCAGTAGCGAGGCACTATCGAGGTGCCCTCAGTAGCGAGGCACTATCGAGGTGCCCTCAGTAGCGAGGCACTATCGAGGTGCCCTCAGTAGCGAGGCACTATCGAGGTGCCCTCAGTAGCGAGGCACTATCGAGGTGCCCTCAGTAGCGAGGCACTATCGAGGTGCCCTCAGTAGCGAGGCACTATCGAGGTGCCCTCAGTAGCGAGGCACTATCGAGGTGCCCTCAGTAGCGAGGCACTATCGAGGTGCCCTCAGTAGCGAGGCACTATCGAGGTGCCCTCAGTAGCGAGGCACTATCGAGGTGCCCTCAGTAGCGAGGCACTATCGAGGTGCCCTCAGTAGCGAGGCACTATCGAGGTGCCCTCAGTAGCGAGGCACTATCGAGGTGCCCTCAGTAGCGAGGCACTATCGAGGTGCCCTCAGTAGCGAGGCACTATCGAGGTGCCCTCAGTAGCGAGGCACAATCGAGGTGCCCTCAGTAGCGAGGCACTATCGAGGTGCCCTCAGTAGCGAGGCACTATCGAGGTGCCCTCAGTAGCGAGGTGCCCTCAGTAGCGAGGCACTATCGAAGTGCCCTCAGTAGCGAGGCACTAGCGAGGTGCCCTCAGTAGCGAGGCACTAGCGAGGTGCCCTCAGTAGCGAGGCACTAGCGAGGTGCCCTCAGTAGCGAGGCACTAGCGAGGTGCCCTCAGTAGCGAGGCACTATCGAAGTGCCCTCAGTAGCGAGGCACTATCGAAGTGCCCTCAGTAGCGAGGCACTATCGAAGTGCCCTCAGTAGCGAGGCACTAGCGAGGTGCCCTCAGTAGCGAGGCACTAGCGAGGTGCCCTCAGTAGCGAGGCACTAGCGAGGTGCCCTCAGTAGCGAGGCACTAGCGAGGTGCCCTCAGTAGCGAGGCACTAGCGAGGTGCCCTCAGTAGCGAGGCACTAGCGAGGTGCCCTCAGTAGCGAGGCACTAGCGAGGTGCCCTCAGTAGCGAGGCACTAGCGAGGTGCCCTCAGTAGCGAGGCACTAGCGAGGTGCCCTCAGTAGCGAGGCACTAGCGAGGTGCCCTCAGTAGCGAGGCACTAGCGAGGTGCCCTCAGTAGCGAGGCACTAGCGAGGTGCCCTCAGTAGCGAGGCACTAGCGAGGTGCCCTCAGTAGCGAGGCACTAGCGAGGTGCCCTCAGTAGCGAGGCACTAGCGAGGTGCCCTCAGTAGCGAGGCACTAGCGAGGTGCCCTCAGTAGCGAGGCACTAGCGAGGTGCCCTCAGTAGCGAGGCACTAGCGAGGTGCCCTCAGTAGCCAGGCACTAGCGAGGTGCCCTCAGTAGCCAGGCACTAGCGAGGTGCCCTCAGTAGCCAGGCACTAGCGAGGTGCCCTCAGTAGCCAGGCACTAGCGAGGTGCCCTCAGTAGCCAGGCACTAGCGAGGTGCCCTCAGTAGCCAGGCACTAGCGAGGTGCCCTCAGTAGCCAGGCACTAGCGAGGTGCCCTCAGTAGCCAGGCACTAGCGAGGTGCCCTCAGTAGCCAGGCACTAGCGAGGTGCCCTCAGTAGCCAGGCACTAGCGAGGTGCCCTCAGTAGCCAGGCACTAGCGAGGTGCCCTCAGTAGCCAGGCACTAGCGAGGTGCCCTCAGTAGCCAGGCACTAGCGAGGTGCCCTCAGTAGCCAGGCACTAGCGAGGTGCCCTCAGTAGCCAGGCACTAGCGAGGTGCCCTCAGTAGCCAGGCACTAGCGAGGTGCCCTCAGTAGCCAGGCACTAGCGAGGTGCCCTCAGTAGCCAGGCACTAGCGAGGTGCCCTCAGTAGCCAGGCACTAGCGAGGTGCCCTCAGTAGCCAGGCACTAGCGAGGTGCCCTCAGTAGCCAGGCACTAGCGAGGTGCCCTCAGTAGCCAGGCACTAGCGAGGTGCCCTCAGTAGCCAGGCACTAGCGAGGTGCCCTCAGTAGCCAGGCACTAGCGAGGTGCCCTCAGTAGCCAGGCACTAGCGAGGTGCCCTCAGTAGCCAGGCACTAGCGAGGTGCCCTCAGTAGCCAGGCACTAGCGAGGTGCCCTCAGTAGCCAGGCACTAGCGAGGTGCCCTCAGTAGCCAGGCACTAGCGAGGTGCCCTCAGTAGCCAGGCACTAGCGAGGTGCCCTCAGTAGCCAGGCACTAGCGAGGTGCCCTCAGTAGCCAGGCACTAGCGAGGTGCCCTCAGTAGCCAGGCACTAGCGAGGTGCCCTCAGTAGCCAGGCACTAGCGAGGTGCCCTCAGTAGCCAGGCACTAGCGAGGTGCCCTCAGTAGCCAGGCACTAGCGAGGTGCCCTCAGTAGCCAGGCACTAGCGAGGTGCCCTCAGTAGCCAGGCACTAGCGAGGTGCCCTCAGTAGCCAGGCACTAGCGAGGTGCCCTCAGTAGCCAGGCACTAGCGAGGTGCCCTCAGTAGCCAGGCACTAGCGAGGTGCCCTCAGTAGCCAGGCACTAGCGAGGTGCCCTCAGTAGCCAGGCACTAGCGAGGTGCCCTCAGTAGCCAGGCACTAGCGAGGTGCCCTCAGTAGCCAGGCACTAGCGAGGTGCCCTCAGTAGCCAGGCACTAGCGAGGTGCCCTCAGTAGCCAGGCACTAGCGAGGTGCCCTCAGTAGCCAGGCACTAGCGAGGTGCCCTCAGTAGCCAGGCACTAGCGAGGTGCCCTCAGTAGCCAGGCACTAGCGAGGTGCCCTCAGTAGCCAGGCACTAGCGAGGTGCCCTCAGTAGCCAGGCACTAGAGAGGTGCCCTCAGTAGCCAGGCACTAGCGAGGTGCCCTCAGTAGCCAGGCACTAGCGAGGTGCCCTCAGTAGCCAGGCACTAGCGAGGTGCCCTCAGTAGCCAGGCACTAGCGAGGTGCCCTCAGTAGCCAGGCACTAGCGAGGTGCCCTCAGTAGCCAGGCACTAGCGAGGTGCCCTCAGTAGCCAGGCACTAGCGAGGTGCCCTCAGTAGCCAGGCACTAGCGAGGTGCCCTCAGTAGGCAGGCACTAGCGAGGTGCCCTCAGTAGCCAGGCACTAGCGAGGTGCCCTCAGTAGCCAGGCACTAGCGAGGTGCCCTCAGTAGCCAGGCACTAGCGAGGTGCCCTCAGTAGCCAGGCACTAGCGAGGTGCCCTCAGTAGCCAGGCACTAGCGAGGTGCCCTCAGTAGCCAGGCACTAGCGAGGTGCCCTCAGTAGCCAGGCACTAGCGAGGTGCCCTCAGTAGCCAGGCACTAGCGAGGTGCCCTCAGTAGCCAGGCACTAGCGAGGTGCCCTCAGTAGCCAGGCACTAGCGAGGTGCCCTCAGTAGCCAGGCACTAACGATGTACCGGCAGCAGCGAGGCACTAGCGAGGTGCCCTCAGTAGCCAGGCACTAACGATGTACCGGCAGCAGCGAGGCACTAACGAGATACCCGCAACAGCGAGGCACTAACGAGGTACCGGCAGCAGGGAGACACTAACGAGGTACTAACGAGGTACCGGCAGCAGGGAGAGAGAGAGGGGAAGCCGTGGCTGACCGGAGGACTGGAGCACCACCACGCGCGCGACCGACCACACAACACTGCGCCAGGGTGAGCCACTTCCCAACCACGCAGAAATAGACTTGGAAGATGATCCTCAAGTTAATTGTAGCCGCCGCTGACCACCAGCACCCCGTCAGACATGACGGCCTCTAGGCCTACCTTTATATCTAGAGTGAACAAGGGCTATTGTCCCGTGTCCTGTGTGTGGTTGTTACTAGTGGGTACTACGGTAGGGTTAATAAGGTGTTATGACTATTGTTTCAAGTGCTGGCCCCATCTGCGGCCAAGTTCTGGCCCCATCTGCGGCCAAGTGCTGGCCCCATCTGCGGCCAAGTGCTGGCCCCATCTGCGGCCAAGTGCTGGCCCCATCTGCGGCCAAGTGCTGGCCCCATCTGCGGCCAAGTGCTGGCCCCATCTGCGGCCAAGTGCTGGCCCCATCTGCGGCCAAGTGCTGGCCCCATCTGCGGCCAAGTTCTGGCCCCATCTGCGGCCAAGTTCTGGCCCCATCTGCGGCCAAGTTCAGACCCATCTCCCCCAAGTTCTGACCCATCTCCACCAAGTTCAAGACCCTCTCTTATGTCGCACTTTTAAGCGTCTTTCATCCTATTGTAAACTACAAGCTGTAAGGAACCTTGTCTCTATAAGACCCGTTCCTAATCCCAGGGATTAGCTGTCCCGGGTATTAAAAAAATCCCCCAGGGCTGTGAGGTGGGCTCGAACTTACGACCAAGGCACTGCCAAGCCGCATACTCGTCCACCGCTGTCCCTGGTATTAGCAATTTTCAAAACAATTGACGGTCACGCTGTATTGATTTGACCAAAACTGTACTCGCCTAGTTGTGCTTGCGGGGGTTGAGCTTTGGCTCTTTGGTCCCGCCTCTCAACCGCCAATCAACTGGTTCGCCAGTTTCTGTAAGTGTTCATTTCTGGGTCATTTGATAATTTGACTTCAGAGATTGTTTCATGTGGCGAACGTCTCCTCTACCGGCCCGTCCTCTCCAGTTGCCTCAACGGAGAGAATATGGTGTACTAAAATGCTCGAATTGAACCGAACTGAGAAAATTCGACCACGTATAGAAAACGTGAATGTTTGTGAATTGGTGAGTTATAGGACAACTATATTTGTCTGTTGAGTATTGTGACATCGAAAGGTGGGTGTATTATGAGAGTGGGTGAGCTGCCTCTACCCCGGGTGGCCGCTACAGCCTGTGGCCGCTACAGCCGGTGTGTGGTACAGCCGGTGTGTGGTACAGCCGGTGTGCGGTACAGCCGGTGTGCGGTACAGCCGGTGTGTGGTACAGCCGGTGTGTGGTACAGCCGGTGGCCGCTACAGCTATAGCGTGTAACTTGGCTTCTGTGGGTAGTTTAATGTTATAGACTCTCTATTCTTTTCTTAGTGTTTAACATCTATTTGAAGTGCACTAACTAAATATATTAACTGGGGCGTGTCTACACTCATCCATAACTAGATAATGTCAGCGTGAGAGGGTGTGGTGGGGTGTGTGGGGGAGTGGTGGGGTGTGTGGGGGAGTGTGTCTTGAGATAGCCAGGTGTGTAGCGAGGGGTGGGGGGGGGGGGAGGAGGGGAACACACTCGGGTTCACAGCACTTCCCAACTTTTTTATGAACGACTTTATTTTCTAATATTCAAAGGTCCCCCCCATCCCCAAGGGCTGGCGACCCACCAGCGGGAAATCACTGGACTCCTAAGAGTGTAGAGAGACGTGTGTTGGGGGAGGGCGGCACCCATCCTGGATGCAGTGGCTGGAGTTGCAGTCACCAGCACATGCAACAAGTTCCCCGTCGTGTTCCTGCAACATACCAGGAGCCAGTCCGGCCTGGCACACCTCAACACGAATATTTCTCCCCAGTTCCCACACAGGTAGTGTCCGTCCCGCGAGGCTGAGTCACGCCACCACTGTGCCGCCCCCAGCTCCTCTAACCCTCATGTTACACATCATTACTCAACCAAGCCAACTTGCTAGAATTTGAATTTGGAACCATTTCACTTTTCATTATAATCTTGCCATATATTAGTTGGCCGAAGCAACATTCTGATGATTCTAAAGCTGTTAAATAGAATATATGCGCGTGTCTGTCCGAGGCTGGGGACCAAGAGTTTGGGGGTAGCTTCGACCAACTTTGCACTGTGATTGCTGTGTGGTACGTGCCTAACATGGACAGTTCAGCACAGTTCAAGAGGACAACAGCGTGTCACGGTCATACTGAACCCCATGGCAACTTTTGGCACTTGCTACCATCTGGTTAAACACTTTGAATGTACTCCATATGATTTTTTTAATATCCCATGATGTATCCAACACCTTACGCTCTAGGAATGGTGCCCCACCTACTTGGGCTGGACGGTAGAGCGACGGTCTCGCTTCATACAGGTCGGCGTTCAATTCTCGACCGTCCAAGTGATTGGGGACCATTCCTTTCCCCCGTTCCATCCCAAATCCTTATCCTGACCCCTTCCAAGTGCTATATAGTCGTGGTGGCTTCGTGTTTTCTCCTGACAGTTCCCTTCCCTTCCAATGTACCCTCCCAGGGGTACCCTACACCTCCAGTGT